AAAGGTGAATTTTATTATGGTCAACAAAAATAAAATCTTTTTTTAAATCCTAATTGTCTCTAATTGTGAAGCTAACTAAAAAGGGTGGAATTGAAAACGCTAGAAAGAAGACTTAGCCGAAAGCAATTCTCCAAGTTCTTGATCTTCAATCTAAGATTTTCAAGCTCCAAGCGGTTCCTTCACAAGAAAACACACAAGTTAAAGAACCAAAATAATAAAATTTTATTTTAGCACCTTCCCCGGCAACGACGCCAAAAGCTTGATGCGACATAATTATGTACTAAAATTGCAAGTGCACAATTGATCAAGTTATAGTATAAAAAGTTATCGATCCCACGAGGAAAGTGATTTTAAGAGATTATTAGAATTGGTTCTTATGTTTTGTGAGTGACAAAAATAGGATTAAAGAATAAGTATGATTGTGATGAGTGATTGTTGTGAATATATGTAAGTAACAATAAAATGAATTTTAGAGAAAAGAAATAAGAATCAAAGAATAAATGAAATCACAAGGCAAGAAAGAAGAATGAAAGAAATAAAATCAAGAATGAAATTTTTTTTTCAAGAAAGTCAAGATGGAGGATTCAATTTAAGATATAAGAAATCTAGAATTGAATCCACTAGCTAACTCAAATATAAAATACAAACTATTCTCTTTTTATCATATTTCAACTTAGATTTATTAAGCATAGACTATCAAACCTTTTAAGGAAAGTATAACCTATCAAATTATCATCTAAGTTAAAATTACTATTCATGATAAGAATAACAACAAGATAGTAATCCTAGAATTCATAAGCATAACCTATCAAACCATTTAAGATAAGCATAGATTATCAAAATTTTCTTCTACCGATTAGTTCTCTTGTTGATTATCCTAAACATGAATATTTTAAGTGTAAGAGAATAATTTGCATAATATAAAGGAAATTAGACTAGCATCATACAATTCTAAGATTCCTACAAGAATTAATTTCACATCTTAAGAAATAAAAACAAAAAGAACTAATTACAAAATTAAAAAGAAAATAAAAATCTAAACTATGAACAAGAAATAAATCTAACTACAAAGAATTAAAATCTAAACTACAAAATAAATTGCAAAAATTAAATACAAGAAAATAAATCTACACTACACGCATGAATGTAAATCTAACTAATAAACAATAATAAAGAAATTACTAAAAAGAAATAAAAGAGAAAAATAAAAGAAAAGCAATCTTATCCAAAACCAACAAATTTCAGCCTTAGATCTGTAACAGAATGCCGATGGTATCGATGCCAGCATCGATAGGGGCATCGATGCTGGCATCGATGCCCCCATCGATGCTGGCATCGATGTGGACCTTCTTCTGGTTGTTATCCACAAATTCTTTCTTCCATTATCTTGTGTGCTTGGTCTTTGGGCTTTTGCTTGGACTTTTGGGCTTTGGCATTTTCTCTTGATTTTCCACTTGGCTTTGATTTATTTCTTCATTAAATATTTGAAAGAATTTATTTGGCTTCATGAGCTTCATTTCTTCATTAAATCAAGGGCTTGTTGTTGAGAGATGAGAGTTTTGAGATTTATTCTTCATTACCTGCAATTAAAGATAAAAACTATTATTAGTGATATATTTATTCATATAAAATAGATAATGAGTGTATAAAATTATAATAAAATGTGATTATCAGAGGCCAAACGGGGGGCTTGGGCTTGTCGACTGGCCGTTTGGAGAGAGCTACCATGCAAGAGCTTGCAAAGAGCCTAAGAGTCTCAAGTCTGAGAGTTCGGACGAGTCTCTTCAAATGAGGGAACCTTTAGCAAATGAGCCAATGTTCAACCTTTGGAAGAATAGCCAGCCAAGCAAGCAGCAGCCAATCAACCTCTTTCACGTTGGCCGAAAGTGGCTTTAAATAGGCAAGGGATGTCATGGGCCACCCCTTGATTTGTGGGATTTGACCACTAGTAGGGGTGAGGGAGCCAGTCGTCCTAGCTGTGGGATGTGACCACTTAGGGGGTCCTGTCAGCCACCCTATTTTTGCTAGGTGAGGAGCGCCATGCTTTCTCCCTTGATTCGTAGGATTTGACCACCGATGTGATTGTTCCCATACTTCAAGTGGGTAGCTGATAATGCGGGCGAGTTTCTAGTTGTTAGGCGAGCTTAGTCCGCGCAGGCGAAGTGCAGGCTGTTAGGCGAGCTTGGTCTTCAGGCGAGCTCGAACCTTCGTGCTGGCGAGTCGGCCAAATAGGCGAGCTTCGAGCTATCGGGCGAGCTAGGCCTTCAGGTGAGCCTGGGTCAAGCAGGCGAGTTTCAGTCTTCAGGCGAGCTTCAAGCTTTTAGGTGAGCCTGGTTCAATGTGCAGGCGAGCCTGTGCAGGCGAGGCTGTGCAGGCGAAGCTGTGCAGGTGAGCTGTGCAGGCAAATCTCATTCAGGCGAGCTTCAATGCTTTAGGCGAGCTCTATCCTTGCAGACGGACTTCCTTGCAGGCGAGCTTCAGCCTTTACAGGCGAGCTTCAGCCTTTAGGCGAGCTACTGAACATGCTTCGAAGAATAGGCCATAACTTTCAAACCGTAAGTCGGAATTTGACGAATTATATAAGAAAATCGACTATCTCGACGAGACGGAGCCAACTAAACCTCCAAAGGGGGTTTTACGCCTTCGTTTCGCCAAATTCCTTACGGTTTGAGAGATATCAGCGTTTCCCCCCTTTTTGCTCTTTCGGATGAGATTTTAGCAGTCTTGTTCTGAACTTCTCTGATAGGGATAAAGACAATATTTATTGCCTACATACACACATACATATTTTCATTTTATAGCTTTTGAGTTTAAATCGTATAAATATAAAAATAATAGTTATATACATATACATATATACTAGTTTTCTATTTATCAATTTTGTTTTGGAAAATAATGTGTTTAGCTATATAAATATGAAACACATGAATATAATTACATACAGACATATTTGTTTCATGTTTATATGTGCTTAAAATGATTTCATTAATTAACAAGTTTAAAATTAATGAAATCATGTTTATTTATAAAATTAGGTATTTATGGATTAAATACTCGATTACATCATGTTACATCTTTTCCTAAGTCCATTAATCCATTCAAAATGAATATGCAAGTTTGTTTTCAAGTGTATTGAATTTTCATGTTTTGGACTATTTTACAAAATGATGAGTTTTCACATTTAGGAAGTGCAATTTGAAAATTTCTTTTTGAAACATGTTTATATTCATGTTTATAAATATTTTCCAAAGTTTTATAATTTTAGAATTTATTTACTATTTTTAAACGGGGTTCAAAGTTTATTTTTACTGTTCATTATATGCCATGTGCACGTTATCAGTTGACTGATAAACAATATCAGTCAACTGATAAAAGTGGCTGGAATAAACGTTTTGGCTTTGCTCAGCCGACTGATGAACCATCAGTCGACAGATGCAGGTCATCAGTCGACTGATGAGTTCATCAGTCGATCGATGAGGTGTGAGCTGACTCCAACGGTTAGCTCATCAGTCGACGAATGAACAGTATCAGTCGACTACTAACCTGTAACGGCTATACTTCTAGCCTTGCACAAATTTTGGGATTTTGTCTTTTTCCTTGGTTTCTTCTTGGTTTTGGGGTTGTTTTGTGAACCTATATATACTCCATTCCCTCTTACTTCTGAAATAACTCAAGAAAGAGTTTTAATCAAGTTTTGGGCAAGTTTGTTTAAGAGTTTACAAGAGTTTTTAAGTTTGTTTTGTGAAGAAGTTTTCACAAGAGGATGAGATTATTCTTTTCGTGTTTGGGCTTCAATCTCATCTCTCTCTCTCTTGAGTTTCTGAGAAGTTTATGCTAAACTCATCTCTAGCTTTATATATATTTGTTGTTATTTATCAATTTTATTAAGCTAGATTTTATATTGAGTTTGCATTTTATTTTTCTCATTGTTTACACACGTATCCCTTGAGCTTTAGTATTCTCACATTGAGTATAATTTGGGTTGTGGTGAGTATCATTGAGAGTGAGCTTACAGTGAGTTCTCGTCCATTGTAGAGAACAAAACCTTGTACTTGTGCTTAATTTGTGAGATCACATCGTAATATACAAGGACATCGAGAGAAGTGTGTGGTGAGAGACGGAGTCAATTCTAAGAGGAGTGGTGTTGATAGTAAAGCCTAAGAAGAAGTAGTAAATCCAAGCATTTGTCGCAAGTTGTTACTCTACAAAGTAGAAGTTCATTTATATTCCCAATTACGAAGATGTAAGACAAGCAATATATTTACGCATCCGATTGTTCACTTTACATTTGTAACTCCATTTTCATCCAACCAAAGAGTCCAAACTCTGCAGTTAGAGTTTTTTTTTTCATTAAATGATCATGATTAAACGAAAAGTTCTCTATGTGTAATTCATATTACACTGAAGTCACAAAGGAAGCACCGCCAAAATATGGGCTTCATAACAGTGTATACATCATGTATGTTCGTTGCCTTGAATTAAAAAAAAAACATTAGGTTTTCATATTGATCTTATATATATATATATATATACGGTTAGAAAATAAATTGCACTAGTACAAAACTGGTCTGTCCAAACGGTTGGAACCGTTTGGGAAAACCCCCTCCCAAACGGTTCCAACCGTTTAGGAGACGTAAAACACCCGTTTGTTAAATTCATGCCATAAGTTAAACACCAACTCCCCGTTCTTCTGCTAATGCAGACGGAACAAATCACGATCCCCTTGAACTTGATTATAAGATTAGATTTTCATATTAATACACTGTTTGAGAAAAGCCAGGAGGACACACGAAAGTCCGCGATTGGATTTCTCAGATGACGTGTTAATGCTGGCCACGGTGCACCGAGACACATGGAAGTCTACGGTTGGACTTCACAACCACCCGTGCGTTTATACGGCTTTAAAATGGTTATTGACTTATGAGCCGATCAGCCTACATCACGCCATCTCGACTTGTTAGCTATATAGGTGGGCAAAGAAGAAAAAAGGCTCCTTGATTATGGAGAGCATCTCTCTTCTTCCTTCCGTTTCTTCGGTCCCACGCTCAAGGGCTCCGTTGGATCAGCGCAATGGCATCCTAAGCTTCCGCCAAAAAGGACGCTACGTGAAAAATGAACAGTCGTTAAGATTAAGGCCCTTAGGTAAGTACGATGACATATTGGCTTGGGTGAGTCAAGTTTTTAATAACTCGCGAAAGTTTCATTTTGGGGAATTCAATCACGTACTTGTCTATGTTGTCCTTTGATTGTATTTTATTTTTAAATTTGCATCACTATAACCCTTAAAGCTGTTAATGGAGAGGTTTGCTTTCTGATTTATTAGTTTAAGATTTATCAGGCTGTTTTGTCATTATCTACTTGGTGAAACGGGTAACAATTACTCCATTTGTCACGCTTCCGGTCCGCTGCAATGATACCATTTGCCACGCGCTGCGGGCCTATTGGAGCGATGTTACCCGTGAGATCCATTAAGTATAACATGTTGTTTGGCTCAGCTCGCTGTTAAAATTGACTAGTTAACTTTTACTTTGGGTCTCATGACTCGTCATTAATTATATCCATCATTTCATCTACTAATAGTTGATGTGGGTCTATTGGAGTTGGCCGCGATACCACAATTTCTGTAGCGTATTGATTCTTTTTTGTGCTAAACAAGGTGCGTGGTATTTATTTTTGACTCTCAGCACTAGCTTGTGTCCCTCGTAGGCTTTCTAGTGGTCAGGGTATTATCAGTAATTCTAGACTTCCAAGCACCTAGTAAGTATATCGACTTTGTCTTTCATCTTCCCCATAATTACATAATGAATAATGATTTATCCAGACAAAGTTATGAAAAGCGAAGCAAACCAGATGTCAACCGAAAATCTTGAAAAAGGAAAAAGTGAGTGGACCCCGCTAAATAATTCGCACCTAAAGCAGTCACATATTTTGAATTGAGAAAAAATATACAATAAAATAATATTATAAAATTAATGCATAGTGATTTCAGCTGCCTATAAATAGGCCCAAAACTCTTCAAGAAAAATCCATCACAGAAACAACTCCTCGTATAGAAGAGTGATAGAGAAAAAATAGAGAGTTTTTCCTTAAAAAAGAGATTATAATTCCTAAGTTTTTTTCATAGTGGATTCTTCTATCATTACCCGTGGTTTTTACCCTAAATTCATTTAGGGGGTTTTTCACGTAAATCTATGTGTTCATTTTTATTTCTACTCTACTATTCGCCGAAACCCTGCTCTATTGAGCCCCGGATTTGTCCCAACAAGTGGTATCAGAGGTTGGCTTAGGGTGAGTGTATCTACTTATCATATGCTCTGTGGCTGCCACCAATGGTGGATCCCCCACATCAGAAAATAAGTTAGATTATCATTTACCCTTTGAAGGAGACAATACTATTTACGAGTACGACACTGTTCATAAGTACGACACTATTCACGGATACGATTACTATTCATAAATATAGTTACTATTCACATAAAATAGTAAGAAGTTACTATTCATGGTAGAAGCAATGACGACGAAGTTCGAGATCGAGAAATTCAACGGGAGTAATTTATCACCGTGGAAGTTGAAGATAAAACCTATATTGAGAAAAGATAATTGTCTAGCGGCCATCGGTGCAAGGCCGGATGACATCACAGATGATAAGAAGTAGAACGAGATAGATGAGAATGCTATTGCAAATCTCTATCTGGCAATAACAGACGGGGTGCTGTCAAGTATAGAGGAGAAGAAGACAACAAAGGAGATCTGCGATACTTTAGCAAAGCTATACGAGGCAAAATCCCTGCACAATGAAATCTTCTTAAAAAGAAGACTTTATACTCTAAGGATGGTGGAATCTACATCAATGACGGACCACATTAACACCCTAAACACACTGTTCTCCCAACTCACAACGTTAGGGCATGCAATCGGTGTGAATAAACGTATAGAACTTCTACTTCAGAGTCTACTTGACTTGTGTGATCAACTCATCATCAACCGAACAAACAACATCCTCACGAACAATCTAGTCTTCGACGACGTTGCAACCGCTATTCTAGAGGAAGAAAATCGGCATAAGAACAAGGAAGATATACAGACAAGTTCGCAACAAGCAGATGCCTTATCGGTGACGAGAGGAAGATCAACGGAACGTGGCTCCAGTGGGAGTCATACCCATAGTAGATCAAAATCACGAAGTAAGAAGAATATCAAATGCTACAACTGTGGCAAAAGAGGGCATGTGAAATTGGAGTGTTGGCACAATAAGAAGAGTGGTGATAAAAAGTATTCAGAGCCATTAGCATTTCAAGGATGCATTGTCAGCACATCAGATGATGGTGAAATTCTATACAGTGGAGCAACCATTGTTGATGAAGGAAGAATGAGGTTTGCTGATGTCTGGCTTTTAGATTCAGCAGCCTCCTAGCACATAACCTCTCGGAAAGAATGGTTTCATAAATATGAACATATCTCAGGAGAATCTGTATTCATGGGCAACGATCATGCCTTGGAGATTTTTGGTATTGATACTATCAAAATCAAAATGTTTGATGATACAATACGCATCATTCAAGATGTACAACATGTGAAGGGCTTAAAGAAGAATCTATTATCTTTAGGATAATTAGATGATCTCGGGCGCAAGACCCATATAGAAAATGAGATCGTGAAGATTGTTAGTGGGGCGTTTGTTGTGATAAAAAGAGAAAAGATAGTTACAAATCTATACAGAATTAAGGAAAAAACCCTACAGTAAGCTGATTCATGTGTGGCATCAACTAGCCATGGAGAAGAACAAACCATGATGTGACATCGCAAACTAGGCCACATGTCAGAACGATGCTTGAAGATTCTCTCCGATCAGAAGCTGCTTCATGGACTTAATTCAGTAGCTCTTCCCTTCTGCGAGCATTGTGTTACAAGTAAACAACATCAACTAAAGTTCAACATATCGAGTTCTAGAAGCAAGGTTATTCTAGAACTGGTTCATTCTAATATATGGCAAGCACCAGTTACATCCATGGAAAGAGCAAAGTATTTTGAGTAATTCATTGATGATTATTCCAGGAGATGTTGGATGTATCCTATCAAGAAGAAGGCGGATGTCTTCTTAATCTTTAAAGCCTACTAAGTGTGAGTCGAGCTTGAATCTAAAAAGAAGATCAAGTACTTGAGGTCAGATAATGGAGGAGAATACACAGAAGGTGAATTTCTTACATTCTGCAAGTAAGAATGCATCAAAAGACAATTCAATACTGCTTATACTTCTCAACAAAATGGAGTGACGGAGCGGATGAACATAACTTTGTTGAAAAGAACAAGAGTTATGTTGGTAACTGCAAATTTGGATAAAGTCTTTTGGGCGGAAGCAATAAAAACCTCCTGTTATGTGGTGAATCGATCTCCATCAACTACAATATAGTCAAAGACACTGATGGAGATGTGGACTAGCAAGCCAGCTGATTATTCCAACCTCCATATATTTGAAAGTACAGTTTATGTAATGTACAATGCCCAAGAAATTACAAAGCTAGATTCAAAATCCAAAAAATACATATTTTTGGGGTATGCTGACGGAGTAAAGGGGTATCACTTGTGGCATGCCACTGCCCGCAAGGTTATCATCAGCAGAGATATTATCTTTGTAGAGAATCAACTATAAAGTAAAGAAAAAGAAAGCAGTTCAAGGAAGGACTCAGAGACTGTAGCTGTTCAGGTAGAAAATAATCCAAATTCTTCTGAAGCAACACCGGAGCATGATGTACAAGAACCAATCGAGTTCGAGGCTCCAGAAGTTCGAATGTCAACTCGTGAGAGAAGACCACCGACTTGGCACTTGGAGTATATTACGGAGAGTAATGTTGCATATTGTCTTCTAACAGAGGATGGAAAGCCATCAACTTTTCATGAAGGTATAAATAACACAGATGCATCTTTGTGGATGACAACAATGCAGGAAGAAATTGAAGCTCTCCATAAGAATAAGACTTGGGTACTTGTATCACTACTACAAGGAAGAAAGAACATTGAAAATAGATGGGTATATAAGATCAAAGCGAAATGACGATGATCAAATGGAGCGATATCGTGATAGATTGGTGGTAAAATGATATACTAAAAAAGAAGGTATTAACTTTAATAAAATATTTTTCCTGTATTTCGACTTACAACAGTCCGAATAGTCTCGGCTATGAGCGCTATATTTGACTTACATCTAGAGCAGCTAGATGTGAAAACAACATTTCTTCATGGAGATCTTAAAGAAGAAATTTACATGCTCCAACTCGAAGGTTTTGAAAAAAAGGAAATGAGAACTTAGTTTGCAGATTGAACAAATCTCTATACGATCTAAAGTAGATGCCGAGGTGTTGGTACAAGAAATTTGATTCATTCATCGTGAGCCTTGAATACAATAGACTTAATTCAGACCATTGTGTATAATTCAAGAGGTTTGGTGAAAATAACTTTGTTATCTTATTATTGTATGTTGATGACATGTTGGTTACAGGCCCCAATAAAAATAATATCAAAGAATTAAAGGCACAGTTGGCTAGGGAATTTGAAATAAAGGATTTAGGATCTGCAAACAAGATTGTAGGGATGCAAATTTATCAAGATCGAATTAATAGGAAGATTTGACTTTCTCAGAAGAATTATTTGAAGAAAATCTTGCGATGCTTTAACATGCAAGATTGTAAGTCAATTTCTACACTACTTCTTGTTAATTACAAGTTATCCTCCAGTATGAGTCCTAGCAATGAAGAAGAGATGATGTAAATGTCTCGAGTACTGTATGCATAAGCAGTGGGAAGCTTAATGCTCGCTATGATTTGTACAAGACCAGACATTGCACAAGCAGTGGAAGTGGTTAGTCGATACATGGCGAATCCTGATAAAGATCATTGGAATGCTGTAAAGAGGGTCCTAAGATACATTAAGGGAACTTCAATTGTTGCATTATGTTATGGGGGGGATCAGATTTTATTATCAATGGATATGTTGATTCTGATTATGCAGGTGATCGTGATAATAACAAATCCATCACAAGCTATGTATTTGCACTTGCTAGCAGAGCTGTAAGCTGGATTTTAAAACTGCAGTCAGTTGTGGCTACTTCAATAACAAAAGCAGAATATGTAGCATCTACACAAGCTAGTAAAGAGGCGATATGGCTGAAGATGGTACTAGAGGAACTCGGGCATGAATAAAAGAAGATTTCTTTATTTTGTGGCAGTCAGAGTGCTTTGCATTTAGCAAGAAATCCACCTTTCCATTCAAAGACAAATCACATTCGAGTTCAGTACCACTTCGTTCGTGAGAAAGTGGAAGAAGGAACAGTGGATATGCAGAAAATTCACACCAAAGATATCCTAGAAGTTTTTTTGACAAAAGCAGTTAATACTGACAAATTTATTTGGTGTCGATCCTCTTGTGGTTTGTCAAAGACGTGAGCAACATGAAGATGGAAAGATAGAAAAAAATGGTGTGAAGATATGATTGATACTCAATCAAATCTTCAAGTGGGAGATTGTCAGCTGAAAATCTTGAAAAATAAAAAAGTGAGTGGGCCTTGCTAAATAATTCACACTGAAAGCAGCCACATACTTTGAAATGAGGAAAAGTGCATAGTAAAATAGTATTATAAAATTAGTGCATAGTGATTTCAGCTGCCTATAAATAGGCCCAAAACTTTTCAAAATAAATCCATCCCAGAAGCAACTCCTCATATTGAAGAGTGAGAGAGAAAAATTAGAGAGAGTTTCTCCTTGTAAAAGAGAGATTGTAACTCCTAAGTTTTTTTGCATAGTGGATTCTTATATCATTGCCCGTGGTTTTTACCCCAAATTCATTTAGGGGGTTTTCACGTAAATCTGTGTGTTCATTTTTATTTCTACTCTACTATTCACCGAGACTCTGCTCTATTAGGTCCCGGGTTTGTCCAAACACCAGAATAGTGTTGCTTACCGTTTTTTTGGGTTTAAGCGGGATGCGGGGTGGGGAGGGGGTCAAGTAAAATTTATTTAATTTAAAAAGTTAAATTAGAAAAAAATTTAAAAATAAGAAAAAATAGGGGAAAAGGTCTGAAAAATTATAAAACAAGAAAAAATTTGAGGAAACAAATCTAAAAATGCATCTACGATAATTTATATAGATCCTAATCATGAAAGATATATGATAATACTTAGATTAATTCACAAAATATTGTTAAATAATACACACATTACAATATGATAAAATAACAAATAATTTGATATGCACATCATAAAAAGTTAGCAAGTTAATTGACTTAAAGTAAATTATCAAAGAGAAGAAAACACATCCATTAAATTTAATCATCATTACATTTCTCCAAGTTTCTCTAAACTTAAAGTAGAAACCCTTTAGGAGAAAGAAGAAAATCCACGCAAACATTGGGGAGAAAAAAAATTAAAGCTGTCCAACTGCTTAATTCTAGTGCTTCAGTCATTTTTGGCCTATTTTATGCCGCTTTTGGCCGCTTTGGACCGTTTTAAGGCAGCCTTGTTAGCTTTAAGCCCACTCTCATCTCGAAAGTGCTTTTTGGCCTTAATGGAGCGGCAAGGTGCTACTTCCACATTTTTGAACAAATTTTCCTTCTTTTGCAGCATTGTACCCAAAATAAATAAGTGCAAGTAGTGGAGCTTAGTTTGTCTATGGTGAAAAGATTCAACCTTCCATTTTCAAGTAACGAGCTTTGTTTATTCAACTCAGAAAAGATCATAACTCAGAGGACATATAACTCAACACACTTTCTAGCCAATTGTAAAGGATTATATGATTTCATACCATAAAGTGCTCTCCATGGACACTCCACAAGCTGTCCACCAAATTTCTTGACTTGCAACAACTATCAGGATCTCAAGGCCACGCCACCCTTGCCTTAGATGATTCTTATCTATAAATTCTCACTGCGTATTCTAAAATATTTATAAATTTTTATAGCATATGAAAAAAAATTTCCCATGATAATGAGGAAAATAATGTCTCATAGTATAGACAATAGCATCTGTGCATTTGCAGGGCATGATTATTTCTGAAGGTGTATCCTTATCGAAATAAGTGTGACGAACACTTATCGAAATGAAGGTGCACGCCCACACATGTACACACACATCCAGGCACGCACACATGCCTAAGCGTGAACACACACACATTCATGCATGCACACGCGACACTCTTGTGCACTCTAAAGCGCACACACGCGCGCGCACACACACATGTGTGCCCACACACACATACCAATGCGCGCTTCGCACATGCATACATATGCACATGAAACACACATGCACACACGCTCCGTCCCCTACCCGCACTCTCATTGACCCACACTGCCAAAGACCCACACCCGCATGCATGCGCATGCACACGTGCGCACAGAACTACACACATGCACAAATGTATATTACTCCTCATTTTATGGCCATTCTTCATATGAATTCTTTTGTCCGTAAACTTTCGTTTAAAGTTATTTGTTTGGATTCTATTTGCAAAATCATAGAGTAAAAGAGTTTCAAGAGAACTTCTAAATGACTAATATTTATAAATAAGAATGATGCAATATGATGCGTGAGTTTTACGAAAAAATATATGCAGTCACAAGCTAAACATTTAAAAGAAAGAATGCTTGAACTGTGTGTACCTTATTGGTGATTATTTCTGTATGGTTACTTTAAAGAGTTAGTGCATTGTTGCAGGTAAATTTTTTTCTAGAGTTTATGGAGCATTTCAGGACGATCCAACAAAAGATTCTGGAGACAGGAACAATTCGATTCTGGTATGCTAGAGGAACAATCAACTTCTTAAAAAGAAAATAAAAGAAAAAGACCATGGTTATCATAGAAAGTCACTGAAGAAAGTTTTTGATAAACAGAAATTTGACATCTAAATAACAGTGTACATTTCAAAGACTGGCTATCAAAAATATCGTAAAGATCAGACCCTTTTGATATCCAATTTCGAGCCAATGATATTTCCAGTTCAAAAGGGTTGTGCTTTATTATACATTGAACCCTCACAATATGTCAACAAGATTATCAAGTAATCCTCAGTCTGCACATTATTTATTTAGTGTTATCAGCGATTACAACTTTCAGGAAACAATAATGTAATTCACTGGCAACATAATTTTAACTAGAGAATAGGGAAGAATTGATAACTATAAACTCTGGATCCATAGTCCACTACATCAGCTCAGCGTAACTTTAAAAAGCCGAATGTAACTTTAATTGGACAGGTAAGTGATGAAGAAAGGATTGAAACATTGGTTATGCAAATTAAGGCTATATTCAGATCAATGAATGATGGAGAGATAAGCCCCTCAGCTTATGACACTGCATGGGTTGCTCGAATTCCATCAAAGGATGATCCAGCCAAACCACATTTTCCTACAACTCTAGACTGGATCCTTAAGAACCAACATGAAGATGGTTCATGGGGAGAGCCTAGCATCTTCCTACTTTATGACAGGCTTGTTTGCACTCTAGCATGTATTCTTGCTCTCAAATCATGGTCAAGAGGTCCTGAGCATACTGAAAGAGGTAATGTGCCATGATTTTCTTTAAAAACTTTTATTGACTTGTTTGAATGTAGAAAAGTTAATAATAATAGATACTTTATACTTGAATGCCTCTCTGCTTGATACTAGGTAGCAATTAGGGTGAAACAACTCGGGTATGGACTGGAAACAGTCTTTACCATATATTTGTTCACTTACTAATCACGGATATGGACATGGCTTGTTAAGAAAAACTCATGATCCTTATCTGCTGAAATTGAATATAAATATGGATCAGACAAGAGGAAAACATACATGAAAGAAAATTGATAAAAGGAAACAAATAAATTTGAAAGGGATACAAACCATGTGAAAACTGCGTATAAAAGCCAATTGGAGTATGTAGGCTGGGACTGGGAGGGGCATACCAAGTCAATAAAAGTTTTTTATTAAGGAAGCTTTGAAGGGAAGAAATGAACGGCATGGAAGCCATAAAAATGTTGGATTTGAAGGAGGACGAAGCTGATCTAACTGATGCACAAAAATTGAGCGGGAGCAAACATAAAGGGTAAGTTTGGCGGAAATGGCTCTAGCGAAGAGAAAAATGGAAACAAAGAGAGCAAAAAGTGGGGTGGGGGGTGGGGGTAGCGGGGGGTTAAAGAAGGAGATGATTAATTCATGTTTCTTTCACAAAATGGCAGCTTTGAGGGGGGGGGGGGGGGGGGTGGGGGGGGAAGAAAGAAAATGGGTTAATTTCACATAACTCCCCTGAACTTTGGGGGAATTGTGCATAACCCCTTAAATTTTATTTATCTCACATAATCCATTGAACTCTGGGGTTAATCCATTGAACTCTGGGGTGTCTCACAAAGTCCCCTTGAATTACAAGCGTTTTTCACCGGACAACCTTACATGTAATTTGTAAATAGCTAAAATTTACTATCGCAAAATTTAGGGGAGGAGGTATGGTACGTGTTGATGGTTGTTATCTAACATGGAGTTTATTAGTAGATTATGATGGATGTTAGGGTCCTCAAGCTTCTTCAGACGACTTTCTCTTGAGCTGATAGTCCCATCTTGCATATGAAGAATACGTAAGAGGTTAGAGTTGGGATCTCCGGTGGTTCCTCCGACGATCAAGTTGGTTTTTCGGCTTGAGTGGGGAAGAAGGGTTTAAGTGTAAGAGTTTTCTTGGGGAGAGTTTGCTTACCCTATGCAGCAGACGGCACCTTCCTTATATAGCAGATCCAAGTGGGTAGATGGGTAATTTCAGTCAGGTTCAACTAGGCTGCTTAGTCGGCATCTACTTTACAGTATCGACTGCGGAGAGGGGTGAATCACCCCAGCATTTTATGTGAGGGTGATTGAATGTTCGTAGTGTTGATGAGGTCCGATGAGTCATAAAGACTTTTAGGGCTAGAGAAATGATGACTTTGATCATGCATTTAATTTGATGGCTATTGTCTGTTTGAGGGGGGCTCAAGGATGCACCAACTTTCGATTTGTCTTCCTAGAGGTTGACAATTACCGTCTTTTTAGTCGGCCTTGAAAGTTATCGGCCTGGAAGGTCCAAATGCCAGAGGGGAGTGGAGTTGACCTGAAAGGTTGGTCGAGTGAGAATGCTTTTCATCTCGATCTTGTGAGTAGGTCGACAAGTACCACCTTTTACGTCGGCCTCGTAAGTTATCGGCCTAGCAGGGTCAAGCGATGAAGCCGCTAGAGTCGTCCCTTTCTAAATACGGCTAATTAGGCATAAATTAGGACACATGTCGGCTCCTCATTTAGGGATTAACACTTAGTTTTTTGTATGATATAACACTAGCCCCTTTCATTCGAACTCAGCTGGCTGAGTCCGAGTGAAATTTGAATAGTCGATGGTTGGGATCTCTGAGGTGCATTTATGATGAAAGCGATGGGCTGCTATTGGCGTGACGCGCTGACATTACTAGAGAACATGTGCCGGTGTTGCCTCGTTTCCAGAATGAAGATGGCGTGTCAACCGAAAAGCAGCGCTTCGATTCCTGAGTGCTCTGCTTAACTTCTGAGGTCAATCTCAGCCGTCTGCTAATAATCAAATTGATCGATCTAATCTCGCCACGTGTCTGCCTACAAACTTATATATATCAATTCTGTCGTAGGGTCCTATTACCAATTTTAGGACTTCTGGACTTTGAACCCTAGGACTCTGTATCAAGTGACTTCTGATAAACTTTCAACTATCTACTGATGGCCTCTTCTGCTGCCACCACCGGTCATAATGAGATGAGAATTAACCTCTTGAGGAAATTCCGCCCAAAGCTCTGCACAACGGAGCTCGAGGCCTACTATGATCGGTATGATATCCAACATTAACATACGTTCACTTTGCCGGTGCCGGAGAGGGCTCAGGCTGTGTATGACATGACGAGTCATCACTCCGGTGTATCTTTGGCATTTAGAGTATGGCCTTCGTCTCCCTCTTCATCCTTTCCTCAAACAAGTCTTTGAAGCTCTGGGAGTATCGCCCTCTCAAATCAAGCTAAACTTCATCACCCTGTTGGTGGGGTTCGTGGTCATCTACCATCGGGTCGAAGTCGACTCATCCCTCCACATGCTCAGCCATCTTCTCAGCGTCAAAACTCGGAAGAAGGAGGGGCATTACTACTTCTAGAACCTTGGTGGCTTCAAAGTAGTTTCAAACGCTTCCAACTTGAATAAAGACTGGAAGGAGTTCTTCTGGGTCTTTGGAGCCCATCCTGTCTTGTCTTACTTAGCTTGGCCCAAGATCAAGAAAGAAGTTCTTATTTTAGGTTTCTTTTCAGCTAAGGATAGTGAGGGCCTCGAGAAGATTTAGGTCGTGGACAGTGAGTGGTGAAGGTCCCTCCGGAAGTACCGAGCCAACTTGGGAGGGGGACGCGGTAGAGGTGGCTATACCTTCCCTTGATCAAGAAGTTGAGGAAGGTGAAAGCCTCGCCACTCCTCTCCTTGAAGCTTCTCATGGAGACCAAGTCGGTGTCATCGTTTTGGATGAGGAGTCCCCCACTCAGGTCGAGGGGGTGAAATGGTGGAGTTCGAGCCTACGGAGGTCCAGCCTCAGAAACTAACCGAGTTAGCCCATCGAGAGGGCAAGGAGTCGGTTGTCGGGGAGCTTGCCACCGAAGAGCCTATTGCCGAAGGCTCAGCCGAGGTCGAGGTATCTGCTTTCCAGGAGGACGACATTGGATGGCCCTTCACTCATCGCATCAGTGATGTGTCGACGAATGAATGGGTTAGGATGAAGAGGATGATGATAGGGTCGCCTATAGTCAGTGTTAGTCAACAATTGAGGCCAACAAACTTTCGGTGGCCTCCGTTGTTGACATCAAGAGAAAGGGGGAGCTAGAGCCGCAACATCAGCCTCCGTTGTTGACATCAAGAGAGAGGGGGAGGTGCCGAATTTGTTGACAAAAGAGAGGGCATGGAAGCTATAAAACCCCCCCTCTCTTCCTCTGTAAAACGCACTCCAAAACTCCAAACCAGCAGAGAGTGATTGAGAGAAAAAGAGAGAGAAAGCCACACAAGAAATCTGTGAGCTCTCAATATTTTGTATGAGTGTTGTATGTTGAGATTGAATATAGTGATACACCCTCTTGCCGTGGACGTAGATCAATTTGATCGAACCACGTAAATATTGTGTTTGTGATTGTCTCTACTATTCTCTGGTTTAGTGGGTAATTTATCCTACAAACTGGTATCAGAGCTTCTCGGTTCTAGGACAGCTTTCAATCCTCTACAATGGCTTCCGTAAAGTTCTCGGTGTCGATCTTTGATGGCCAGAACAATTTTGGCCTATGGAGGATAAAGATGAAGGCTTTGTTGCGACGTGAAGGCACAGTTAAAGCTATCGACGGGAAATACCCAGAAGATATGACTAGTGCCGAGATCGAAGAGATGGACGAAAAAGCTCACAGCGCCTTGCAATTGTCACTATCCGACAATGTGCTTCGTGAAGTTGCCGATGAGGAAACAGCAGCGGGGTTGTGGTCAAAGCTCGAAAGTCTCTATTTGAAGAAATCTCTTACTACGAGATTATACCTGAAGCAACGGCTATACACACTGAAGATGAAGGAAGGTACACCCATTCAGGAACACCTTGATGAATTTAATAAAATTGTCATGGATATGAAAAACCTGGATCTTAAACTTGATGATGAAGACCAGGCTCTCATTGTGTTATGTTCATTGCCTAACTCTTATGAAAACTTTGTTAACTCTATGTTGTATGGAAGAGAATCCATAAGTCTTGAGGATGTGAAGGCCTCTTTGAACTCTGCTGAGTTGAGAACAAAGTTGAATGGGAGAGGTACCGATGGGCAGGCTGATGGTTTGCTAGCCAGAGGTAGATCGAAGGCCAGAGAGGGTGATAAAGGGCAATCCAGAAATCGCTCAAAGTCCAGGTCAGCCCCAAACAAGAAAAATGTGGAGTGTTTCTACTGTCACAAGAAAGGGCATTATAAGTCAGAATGCTATGCTCTAAAGAAGAAAGACAACCAGCGTGGTGAAACCTCAGATTCAGCTAATACGGCAAAGGCTGATACTGCCGTTGTTGCTGAGACGGTTCTTACAGTATGTCCCTTGGATGGCCGTTCCGATAAAGAATGGATCTTGGATACAGGTGCGTCTTTTCATATGTGTCCAAATAAAGATTGGTTCACTACTTACAGATCTATAAGTGGTGGATCAGTTTTGATGGGCAACAATACAGTTTGCAAGACAGTTGGCATTGGTACAGTTCGCATCCGGTGTCACGATGGGATAGTGAGAACTTTATCAGATGTGAGACACATCCCGGACTTAAAGAAAAATCTAATTTCTTTGAGTTCTTTGGATTCTGATGTAAGGCACATCCCGGACTTAAAGAAAAATTTGATTTCTTTGAGTTCTTTGGATTCTATTGGGTGTTCTTACACTGGCGAAGGTGGAGCTCTTAGAGTTACTAAGGGTTCATTGGTTGTGATGAAAGGTAGTAAGGTGAACAGTCTTTATGTTCTCCAAGGCAGTACGGTGACAGGCTCTGCAGGTGTG